ATTTGAGTTGCTAGGACTGCTAGAATAATGAAACTACCATAACACAAAGACACCAAGAACTCAAGAGGTCTCAACAAAAGCTAAAATAACATATAAAGATTTTAAACAACTTACAGAATTCTAAATGTTCTAACTTATCAAAACCACTCCTTACCAACAGTCAAAGCCACAGGAGAATAATTGAATTACTTTTTTTCTTCTTCTTCCTTGTATTTCTACAAGTAATTCAATTAGTTATGTTTCACAATTATACTTCAATATTTCAAAGGCAGATAGCAAATATAAAATATTTCATTATTGTTTTTCATGCTAATCATGTCTATTGAAAGGTAATGATTAGTTATAGTACTTCCTACTTGATATTTATCATAAGAAGTAGATCAACATACTGTTCCAAATATTTCCATAAAGTGTGGAACACACAAACTCAGGCGGGAAAAAAAGGAATATCTTCCTAGACAACGAAGTAGAGCAATTAAGTATCTTCTCTTGAATAAATCATTCTTTATAGAAGCTAAAGCAGAAAACTGTATGAGCAATGTTGATGTTGATGTCATGAATTTTCTACAATAAAAGATAACCTATGCACTTTAAATTATATTAGTGGCTGAAAGCAGGTATCTAGAATAGCTATGTAAATGTACCTTTTGACAGAACCTACAAGTATTTAGTCTTAAAGATAGTCTTATCCTGAGACATGGTGTCAAAATGAGGGCAGTAGAGAAGGCTCCAAAAACTCAGTGTGGACGGTGGCTGCAGCCACAAAATTAAAAGACACTCGCTCCTTGGAAGTAAAGCTATGACCAACCTAGACAGCATATTGAAAAGCAGAGATATCACTTTGCTGACAAAGGTCTGTCTAGTCAAAGCTATGGTTTTTCCAGTAGTCACGTTTGGATGTGAAAGTTAGACCATAGAGAAGACTGAGCACCGAAGAACTGATGCTTTCAGACAGGTGCTGGAGAAGACTCTTGAGAGCCCCTTGGATTGCAAGGAGATGAAACCAGTCAATCCTAAAGGGAATCGACCTTGATGATTCATTGGAAGGACTGATGCTGAAGCTGAAGTTCCAATACTTTGACCACCCTATGCAAAGAGCTCACTGGAAAAGACCCTGGTGCTGGGAAACACTGAAGGCAGGAGGAGAAGGGGGCAGCAGAGGATGAGATGGTTGGATGGCATCACTGACTCAGTGGACATGAGTTTGAGCAAACTCTGGAAGATGGTGAAGGACAGGGCAGCCTGGCGTGCTGCAGTCCATGAGGTTGCAAAGGGTAGGACTCGACTTAGTGACTGAATGACAGTAAGAGAGAAAGCTAAGTGGAGAAGCATCTCCACCAGGAGCCCAGTGAAGGGCCAGACTTCCTAAGGATAGCGGACTGAATACAGAGGGAATCCCATCTCGCCACCCTACAGAAAGCATATAGGTGCATGAAAAATCATTAACTTCAGGTACCACACACACACACCAGCCATCAAGAAATACAATGTTCTTTGTGAGTCTGAAGAGTTATCTAAAATCCCAACTCAGGAAATGTTAGTGAGCTTCTCATAAGTAAAGTAAGTTACCTATACAGGCATGCTTCCTTTTATGCAACTAGATCATTTGTGTCAGTAGATTTCTCTCTTAACCTATGGAGATGAGAGTATTTGAGGTGAGACCAGAGAGATGGGCAGAGACCATTGGGCAGAGGCCATTGAGCAGAGGTCTTAGGAACTAGGAGTTTATTGTGAAGACTCCAAGGAGCCCGAACCCAGGATGAGACAGGCTCATGTGGATTCTGAAATCATCATTTGGATGGGAAAGTGGATACAGATCACGGTGGGACAAACAGGAGGGAGAAGATGAATTTGAAGGCTGCTGTGATCAACCAGGTTAGAAGAGCTGCGGGTCCCGAATGATGGTGATGGAAGTGAGCTAGAGATTGTAGAAACAATACATCTCCTTTCATATCTCTTCCACTTATCACATGAGAACAAATACAAGCTCATATGGGCTTCCCTTGTGGCTCAGCTGGTAAAGAATCTGCCTGCAATGCGGGAGACCTGGGTTCGATCCCTGGGTTGGGAAGATCCCCTGGGGAAAGGCTACCTACTCCAGTATTCCGGCCTGGAGAATTCCATGCACTGTAGAGTCCATGGGGTCTCAAAGAGTCAGACATGACTGAGCGACTTTCACTTTCATTATATGTACCCAACAATAAGCAAATCAAGCTTTTCTCAAAGTTAAAACAGCAATGGGTCTCAAAAGTAGATAGTAGCCTTCCAGAAAGTGATGGGAGAAGCAAAGGCTGTGCTCTGCCTGGCAGTGAACAAGCTAAAGGCCGTTGGCTTCTGGAACCATGTTGTGTCATTCCCTTACTTCCTGGGCTCACAGCTAACAATACCCATTGCGAAGGCTTAGTACAACTTCCAAACTCTACGGAGTTTGCTCTTTTGACCACCACGGTGTTTCTCATGAACTATGGATAACTCTAGAAATTTTTTATCTTCCTGCTAATAACAGGGATTTGAGTGAGGAATTCCTCAACTGTGAATTATTAAGGCTGTGGAGGTGCATTAAAAGTGTCAGAAAATGATGGTCTTCAAATTTTTAGAAATTTTGCTACTAAGTGACATCAGCTGGAGACTTAGTCTCCCAGCCTTAATCATGAAAAATTTGAATAGGATATACTCTTTTTACCCTCAGCTTTTCTACTTAATCTGAGTTTGGCAAACTATAGCCTGAAAACCAAACCCTTTGTAATTAAAGTTCTATAGGAACCCAGTCCCACCCATTGTTCACACATTGCCTCTGATGACCTTCACATTCCAACAGTTGAGCTGAATAGCAGGGGCAAAGACCTTCTAGCTCACAAACCCAAAATCATTTACTATGGTGGCTCCTACAGGAAAGGTTTGCCTGTATCCATTCTCTGGGAAATGCCCTTCCCAGGATGCCACCTAACATTGAGCAGAGTTTAAAAACGGATACATGTTTATGTACGGCCTTAACCAAGTGGGCCTTAGAAAGCATCACTAGGAACAAACCTGGTGGGGGTGATGGAATTCCAACTAAGCTATCTCAAATCCTAAAAGATGATGCTGCAAAAGTGCTGCACTCAATATTCCAATAAATTTGGAAAACTGAGCAGTGGCCACAGAACTGGATAAGGTCAGTTTTCATTCCAATCCCAAAGAAAGGCAATGTCAAAGAATGTTCAAACTATCGCATAATTGCACTCATTTCACATGATTGAAAAGTAGTGCACAAAAGATTCAAACAGGATTTAGAAAAGGTAGAGGAACCGGAGATTAAATTGCCAACATCTGCTGGATCATAGCAAGAGCAAGAGAATTCCAGAAAAACATCTACTCCTGCTTCACTGACTATGCTAAAGCCTTTGACTGTGTGAATCACAACAAACTGTGGAAAATTCTTAAAGAGATGGGAATACCAGATGACCTGACTTGCCACCTGAAAAATCTGTATGCAGGTCAAGAAGCAAGTCAGAACCAGACATAGAACAACAGACTGGTTCCAAATTAGGAAAGTAGTACGTTAAGGCTGTATATTATCACCCTGCTTATTTAACTTATATACAGAGTACATCATGCGAAATGCCGGGCTATATGAAGCACATGCTGAATCAAGATTACAGTGAGAATAATCAATAACCCTCAGATATGCAGATGGCACCACTCTTCTGGCAGAAAGCGAGAAGAAATTAAAGAGCCCCTTGATGAAAGTGAAATAGGAGAGTGAACAAGCTGGCTTAAAACTCAACATTCAGAAAAATAAGATCATAGCATCTGGTCCCATCACTTCATGGTCTCATCACTTCATGGCAAATAGATGGGGAAATTATGAAAACAGTGAGAGATTCTTAGATCCTTGGGCTCCAAAATCACTGTGGATGATGACTGCAGCCTTGAAATTAAAACACACTTGCTCCTTGGAAGAAAAGCTATGATCAAACTAGACAGCATATTAAAAAGCAGAGACATTACCTTTGCCAAAAAAGGTCTGTCTAGTCAAAGATATGGCTTTTCCAGTGGTCATGTATGGATGTGAGAGTTGGAGCATAAAGAAAGCTGAGAGCCAAAGAATTGATGCTTTTGAACTGTGGCATTGAAGAAGACTCTTGAGAGTCCCTTGGACTGCAAGGAGATCCAACCAGTCCATCTTGAAGGAAATCAGTCCTGAATATTCCTTGGAAGGACTGATGCTGAAGCTGAAGCTCCAATACTCTGGCCACCTGATGCAAAGAACTGACTCATTGGAAAAGACCCAGATGCTGGGAAAGATTGAAGGTGGGAGGAGAAGGGGATGACAGAGGATGAGATGGCTGGACACGGCTGAACGACTGAACTGAACTGAAATGTATGGCTGTGTCCCTTTGCTGTCCACTTGAAAGTACCACAACATTATTAATCAACTATTTCCAATTTAAAAAAAAGTTTAAAAAAAAGGAAAAGTTGGCAGACCCCTTCTCTATGTGAAACTGGAAAATAACACCTAACATATTCTCTTTTATAAACTTTATTGAAAGGGTAAAAATGAACACTCAGTGAAATCACAAAAGAAGAGTAAAGGTTTAAAAACATCCCAAAGCAAGATCCACCCATGTCTTCTTTACTCTCCGAGTAAAGAAACTCAAGAGCTGCTTGAGAATGGCGCACACCGGAAACCACCGGCATGAGACGTCAGCAGATGGAAAGGCTGTCACTTTCCTGAAAGCGATCTTAGGGAGGCTGGTGAACCTGTTAGACAAGCATTTAAGGGAGATCTGCCAGTCCCCACAGACAGACTCGGATTTAAGAGGAGAGAGATATCAGAGGAGTGCCTCATGAGGTACTTTAAAGTTCAGATCCTTAACGCTGCGAAGATCCCAAGCAGAGGCCCCCACCGGCTGTGCTGCAGAGTCACTGATGAATCCACACCTCCTCCTGAGATCCGGCGGACAGGTGTTAGGGTGACAGGTGACTAGAGAACTACCCTGAACCTGTCGAAGCCGCACCTGTGCACAGAGTAATCTTCCCTCTTAACAGGACGGCTTCGGTGCCGCTCCTTGAACAGAGAGAACGCCCGCTTTAATAAATCAGGGGCACGAGATGGCAAATCGGTCTGCATTTCCACCTCAGGAAGAATCGCCCAGCACGAATTCAGCTGCACCCCAGCACGCTCTCCCCGCACGATCCCCGAGGCACTAGTGGTAATCCTCATTTGTCTGACAGCCTGTACAGAGCAGAGCCCATCCAATGTGAACACCCTGCTTCCTGCAGCCCCCACCACTCGCCCCCATCCCCCAACTCCAGTTTGCCTTCCAGGGCCAACCTAGCATAAAGTACAAAATACTGATTGGGAAGGTGTTCCGGATCCCCGAAGAGCCAGTCAAATTACCATCTGCCCCATCTTGTCTTATCTCCCCACATACAGTAGTAAATATAATCTATCAGCAAATGTTGGAGCATAGTTCTGGCAATTAAGGGAGTAAAACCTTCCCGGGGTGCGTGCTCTAGACCCTCCCCGCCCCCCGCATGCAACGTCTTGGGTGTGAGAGTTCCTGTGATACAGACACATAACAGCACTGTCCCTGCAGGCTGAACTTCTCCCTCTCCTTATTCACTGTGACTCTGCGATTCATTTTCACCTCTGACAGCAAAAACCCCAGGACAAGATTGTCACAGAAAGGATTATCTTTCAGATCAATGCTGAAATCGATTGCAAACCCCACTATTTATCAGCCTGCGGCAAAACTGCAATTGGCTAAGAAATATGTCTTCTCTCTCGAATGCATGTTCAGCGCATCTAGGCAACATTTCACCTCATTCTCCATGAATACAATAGCCTGACTTTTCACCCAGAGATGCACAGTCATAAAATATACATCACCAGCCAAAGTGATCTTTCCAATATCCTCTTATAGGTGAGGCAGACTCCTTCACTTCCAGCTTAATATATTTATAATACATGAGGTACAGGTTATTTATTTTTTCAGTTATACTTTCTAACGCTAAAAATGGAGGCTAAAATGGCAACAAGGCCAGTGGGAGAAAGGCACGATTAGCTAACATATTTCCACCCTGCTTCTTGAAAGACTTTTCTTCTCCCACATCTCCCCCTCCCCAAGTAACTGTTTTACACCAAAACCCAACGGAGAATTTACTAAGATTATGGACAATTTGACTGACCAACATGTTACGTCAGCCATATAATAGCAATGGAATTTTATCAGGGAGGTTTTTTTAGGGCCAGGAAACCTAGGCTTTCAATTCCTTGGTATAATTAAATAAAGTTAAAACTAGAACTTACCTCAGGAATCCAAAACATTCTTACTAAAAAGTCCAGATACTGACGTAAATGGTACAACTGATTTACAACATGTGGATGTAATTAATTTTTTTAAAAATTATGATAGGGCTTCCCTGGGGGCTCGGTGGTAAAGAATCAGCCTGCCACTGCCGGAGACAGGGGTTCAATCCCTGTTTCCGGAAGATTCCACATGTTACGGAGCATCTAAGCCTGTGCGTGACGACTGCTGAGCCGGTGCGCCACAGTCGGGGCGCCCCGACTACTGCAGCCTGCATGCCCAGGGCACGGGCTCCGTAACAGGAGAAGCCTCCGCAATGAGAAGCCCAAGCGCCACAGCAGCCTGCTCATCAACAAAGACCCAGCACCGCCACAAATAAATAAATAAACGAACAAACATAATTTTTAAAAGTTATACTTTAAAAAAAAAAAGTAAATTATGATAGCCAGAAAGTACCTTAAAGAAACAAGATAATAAAAAAAGACACCTTGGGGCAAGAAATACACTTAAAAACAGACCCATGTGGAGTACTAAAGCAATGATTTATTATACTCAAACAGCAAATAAGCATCTAGAAAGAAAACAAAATGTCAAAATGATATATTCATATCACACTGCCTCGTACAAACATTTTGCAATGTCTAGACACTTCAAGTTTCTTAAACCAGAAAGAAAGATTGACCAAGACTTGCCAAAGGCTTCTACTTTAAATATTCATGTTTAAGCCAATTATTTAGACTCTAAAATGTATTGTCTCATAAAATATGCTTATACGCAGTGACAAAAATGTTATGTAATTGAAATGCCACTGAATTAAAATGAACAGATTCAAAGTTTATAGAGAATCTTTTAGACCTCAAGGCCAACCAGCAAAACCTTTTATCCAACATGAGATTTGCCCTTAGAAAGATCAATTAGATGACAATGAACAAAAAGTCTGCAGAAAAATCAGAACTGATATGGATAAACACTGGTAGATAATCAGTGTATCATCTTCTCACTGAAGTAGGTCAGTCAAAAAAAAGATGGTTGACTGGACTAGGGGTGGTTATGTGTAAAATGGAGACTCAGAGATGAAATGTAAAATCAAGACTTGATGGTAGATTTGATACTAAGGAAAAAATAAGTTGCTAGGCAGATTCCAGGTAAATGGCCGAACGGTATAACCATCTGAAACAGAAATGCTGTTAGAGAACCCAACTTGAAAGTGGGAGGGTGGGAGAGAGTCTTGAGTTTAAACACGGGAGGTGTCTCTGAGATACTGTAAGTATAGAAAGTCACAAAGGTAAATGGATACATGGGCCCAGAGTACAAAGAAGCAGAAATCTGGAGTAAAAAAGTCACCAGTGCCGAGTCCTGGCCGTGGAGTGTTCTCTGGCAGTGTTAACATCCACACTTTGACAAGGCTCCCAAGGGATGAAGGACCTCAGAACAGCACCAGCACTGCGTTAAGACTAGGAGGACAAGTCGAGAATCCGGCAGACTCCACTGGCTATGCCGAAGCCTGCGGGAAGAGTGGTTTAAAAGACACGGGCGATCAGGAAGAGGTGTCCAGCACTGTGGCAACACAGATCAGCAGGGTGAAAGCCGGTTACACAGTGGAGGTGGTTCCACCGTTTCCTAGGAGAGGGTGAGCCATGGCCTTGCCTCCCTCATGTGAGGCTTTCTCTCTGATATACCTTGAACAGTGATAATACTGTGGAAAAAGGCAGTGAGGCTGAGAGAGTGGAAGTCTTGACATATTTCATGCTGGGAACTGACACTAGTTCTGCATCCACTATCTCAGAGAAAAAGTGAAAGCTGGGAAGATATGAAAGGTAATCTAATCAAACACCTTCAGTTTAATCAACCTTTGTTAAGATCAAGCTCCTGGAGTTTGATTTCACAGGGTCATGATTCCTGGTGATGTGTGGCAGAAGCCAACACAATATTATAGAGTGATTGTCCTCCAATAATTGTATTTTGTTCTATACTTGTCAATAGTGTACAATTATAATCTTTGATAATTATTAGTTACTCGAGAACAGTTATGTTTTAAGCAAATTGCTCAACTGTCATCACCAATACAATATACTTAGATGTGTTCTTTCTATGAAACTTTCTAAGTAGTAAAAATAAATAAATAAATTAGCCAATAAATCTTTCAAAAAAAAAAAAAAACAGAGCTCCCCAGACCACAAGTGTTTCTAATATTCACTTGTCCCTGGCTTTGCCTTACACTGGTGTCCTTATACTATTGCAGCTGCTGCTAAGTCACTTCAGTCGTGTCCGACTCTGTGCGACCCCATCGACGGCAGCCCACCAGGCTCTTCTGTCCCCGGGATTCTCCAAGCAAGAATACTGGAGTGGGTTGACATTTCCTTCTTCAATGAATGCATGTATGCTAAGTCACTTCAGTCGTGTCCAACTCTGTGCGACCCCACGGACAGCAGCCCACCAGGCTCCTCTGTCCACGGGATTCTCCAGGCAAGAATACTGGAGTGGGTTGCCATTTCCTTCTCCAGTCCTTATACTAGACTTGAAGAACTAGCCCGTGAAATAATAATAGCAATAATAATACTAATACAGTGGGAGCAAAAATAAAATAAATGCTTTGCAAATAATAACCTATTTATTCCTTACAATAGCCCTGTGACATAGGCCCTATTGCTATTCCATTTAGTCACCCACAATCAGAGAGGTGGTTAGTGACAAAGGCAGGATCTGAACACAGGCAACTTGCTCTGGAATCCAGATGCTTAACCATGATGAAACACAGTTCTCTCATATGCAGGAATCCATTTAAAAATAAAGATTGCTCTAGCACTCTCACTCACTAATAAGGTTAAAATGAGTGTGCTACTATGCTATTTACACATCATTATTCCAAACATGGAAGCAATCGTGTCCTGTTATAATTCCTCAGCAGGTTCACAGATTTTAGAATATTAACAAGTAACTTTAAGCTATAAAACAATTTATACATAAATGAAGGATGTCCTGTGGTATAATAGTAACCATAGCAACAGAGAAAGATGGGTTTGCTAAGTGAAAAGTATCCTAAGGTATTTGATGCCCTCAGAAAAGCTTTCTTTCCATTTACAATAAGGACATGACCAGTAGCAGCAAAATAATAGTACATTTTCATAGTGGATTATATTATAATCTAGATTAGCAATATTATATCTTAGCATTTTTATTTCCAAAAGGAAATAAAAAGACTATACTAAAATCTGTCCAATTTATATCTCAATAATTGGAATGGTTAATTCATTCAAGATTGTATACTAAATCTTGAATAAGGTAACATTTTATATAAACCATGATATGTACAAACATTTATACTTGGAAAAACATGCAATCAGAATAAAGTTTTAATAATACATGGCATATTAATAATATATGCCATATTTAATATATGCCATATTTAATAATATATATGCCATAGCATACTATATTTACAAAGGGTAAATGAATATTTTGTGGAGTATAGTCATAATGTATCCCCTAAGAAACAGATTTTTTTTTTAAAGAAATCAAAATTTGTAAAGAGTAGGAATCATTTGGAGAAATAATGAGGTGAATCCCTTTCTAATATCTATTGGCAAAAGAACTATAAGGTTGCTTAAGTAAATAAATATCATTTAAAGACCACTAATACTGCATAATGGGTTTCCCTGGCGGCTCACATGGTAAAGAATGGTGAGATGCTTTCTCCCAGGCAGTGAGGGAGACCAGGGTTCAATTCCTGCGTAGGGAAGATCCCCGGCGGGAAGGAATGGCTACCCACTCCTGTATTCTTGCCTGGAGAATTCCACGGACAGAGGAGCCTTGCGGGCTACAGTCCACGGGGTTGCAAAGAGTCGGACACGACTGAGCAATGAACGCACACACAAATGCAGTGTTGTATACACAATTAATAAAGAAAGAAAGA